CCGCCGGGCAGAGCCCCGACCGGCAAGGGGGAATGTCATGTTTTTTTGAATGCATAGCTTTGATTTCACGCCGGGTCATAGCAGCGGCCAATTCCCCCCCGCCCACCCCCAGCTCATGCACCTTGCAGGGCATTAACCATGATGCAGCCCCCTGTGAGCCACCAGCCAGCAAGCTGGAGGTGTTACCTTGCTTGGGGTGGGCGATGGAGCTGCGGGGAGAAGCAGAACCCCAGCGGCTAGGCCAGGTCGGTTCATCCGCGGGGCTCTTCGAGCCCCGCGGATGAACCGACCTGGCCTAGCCTCTGGGACCCCACACTGTCCATGCCCTGCCCTGGCTGCCTGCCCTCGCATTCCTGTCCCCGCACATCATCTCCCTCCAGCTGCTGGGGAAAACAGCCCCCGCTGCTACCAGCGGCTGGGGTGAGGAGGGGGAGCTGCCTTCACGGCACGTGAGCTCTGTGGGAGCTGGGGCTGCTGCTGGCCTTGGAAATGCAGGGTATTTTTTCCTCCCGGCTCCAGGAGAAGCGGGAGGTGAGGCAGAGCCGGCTGGCGCTGCGCACTGCTTGCAGCACTGCAGGTTTCTTCCGTCACCAGTGGGACCCTGCCCACCCTCGCCCAAGATAACCAGGGGCTGTGCAGTGGTGTCACCCACACCCCCTTGGATGGTTTGAAGGTAGGAGAACTGCCCTGTGCCTCCTTTTGCAAGTTGAAATTTGAGGGGTTTCCCCGCTAAGTAATTGGGGGTTTGGTATGATGGCCAAGAATTGGGCAACAGGACAGTTGTGGTGTCTTGGGGATGACTAACAGCAGTGGGACAGGTCTGCTGCTCTTCTCTAACACACTGCTGAGGAGGAAATCCTGACGCCTTCCTGCTTCCCTATGACAGTCGCAGCATGTGTGCTGAAGGTGACTCGGAACCGCCCGAGGGGCTGGAGCTGTACTCAATACTGGGTATTGCCTGTAGACCCCCAAAAGCAAGAGGTTTTCACCACTGACCTGGAGGTGACATGCAACCAGACCTTGCACCTGGGAGTCCCAAGCAGCCCCCCAGCCAGCAGTTCTCGCAGCGTCCCCCTTGGCCAGGCAAACTGCATGTGCCCCATGCAGGGCATGTCACCAAACTGACGTGCAAATAATTCTGGATCTAAATCAGTACTGCAGTCTGGGCCAAAAGTCATTTTGTGACCTGGCACACTCCGTTTGACCACTGGCTAATTTTTCTGGTTGTAGATGATATTTTTTCCTGTTGTGGATGAGGAAGATCTGAGGACAGAAGAAGGGCATGCTAAGGGCAGAGAAAAACAAGAAGCTGCATGTGGGATCCTGCAAACAATTCCACATTTGTGTGGCCCCTCTCAGCCTCATTAACTATGTGCAGGCGCAAGTCTGTAGTACACCAGCAAATGCACAAAGTCAACAAATAGTATTAGCAACAAGTGCTCTTTTTCCCATAATATCTTCATATTCTGGAAATCATTGTTGTTGCTTGGAATAATCACATGCTCTGTTTAGCTGCAACACACTCTGGAAATCTCAGGCACCTGGTGCGGTACCTAAGCTGACTTGCCAAAGCATCAGCCCCATGTGCCGGATTCAGACCAGCAGCTAGAGCCTGTAGGGCAGGATCATTGCCTTTCCTGGTGTTGCATCGTTTGTTATGGGTATTTTCTGGCCAATTCATCACATGCTGTCTGCTAGGTCAGAGCTGTGTGGAGCTCAGTGTTCAACCTCGCCGTGCTGGAAACCTCCAAGGGCTGCCCGAGGCCGGGCAGGAACATGGCCCGCTAAGCCCCAGTTGATGTGTCAGTGAGCAGGGCAGTGATTTGCACCAGTGGCAGATAGCAATGCTCGACTTGTAATTCTGCAAACATCTGTTCCCACATTTGACTGCTCCCCACACAGTCCAAACCCACTGGCAGAGCAATCAGGCTGCCTTTGCTCTCCCTTTACAGGCCCATCCCTGGGAAAGCGGCAGTGGGATGGGGCTGCTGGCTGGTGGGGAGCAGAGTTTCAGAGGCTGCGCTGCTCTTTGCACAGCCCACACGCCTCAGCTGCGTCAGGGGCTGATTCACCATCCCCGGCTGTAGAGCCAAGTTAGCGCTGATGGATGGAGACTGATCGACGGGGGAACGCGCATCTCTGCCGACGTCCTGAGCGGGGGCCGTGCCGTGCTTGGTGGGACGCTGCACCTCGGCTGCACCCAGTGCTGAGCAGAGACCACGGAACAGTTTGTGCTCTACCGATGGGAGCAAGGCCTGGGACTGGCATGGCCTCACGGCAGTCAGCAGAGCCTGCATGTCCTACAGAGGCCTTTCCCAAAGTCCTGCGCTTCTCCCAGGCTGCCTCCCCATCAGCCAGCAGCAGGCTTTTCAGCTTGGCAAGAAGCTACTTGTTTCAAAGGAAAATCATCAGCAGCTCAGCCCTTTACTCAAACCTGTTGCAGAGGAGGTCTTGCTCTCTCCTCCTCTCCTTATCCTAGGGAGATACTCCTTCAAACTTGCCATGCAGAAAATATAATGACCACCTTCTCCTCACATGCACTTGTTCTCATTTGCAGGCCCATGCATGCTGCTACGGGGAGGGCACAGCAGTTAAGCACACATGAATAACCGTGCACGAGCACTGCAGACATCTGTACGATTATTTTTTTTTCAATGGTTCTAGTACCAAAATATCCCAGGCATAAAGGGATTTGGACCCTACGTTTACAGCTAATGATCTGTACAGGCCTCTAAGGAAACTGCACAGTAGCCCCGCTAATGGCTTCAAGGAGAAATGCTTCAGGCCCTGGCTGCTGCTGGTGCTGCTCAGGGAACTGTGCTTTCAGCTCCTGCATGCGATAAAAACCTTTCCTCACTGTTGCAGACATGATGGCTCTTCTGGAGAGAGAAAAGGCATTGACTGAGCTAATGCCGTTAACTACCTTTAAGCACACACAGAGGATGTAAAGCAAACACCGCCCGGTCATTCAGCAGCTGGGCTTAGCTCAAACCAGCCTGCGAATTTCTCGGCATGCCCTGCGCTGCCTGCTCCCTCCATCCCAGGGGAGAGCAGGCAGTGACGGAGAGCCCTGGGCATAGACCTGGAGCACTTGGGAGCTCTAGGGCACTGCAGGCCCCCCCCCCCGTTGCGGGCAGGGCAGCCTCGCAGCCCCCACCCTGGGGAAAGCACTGCAGGATAAGCTTTCCCCGCTGTTTCATTTCCCCCTCATCACCTCTGCCTTCCCTCCCTGGGAAAGGCAAGGGGAGCTTTGCCTGAGAAAGAGCAGCAGGATGGACTTTTTCTTTTGCAAGGTGTGTCTCAGCAGTGCCAGCCCGAGCGTGCTCAAATCCAGCAGCGGCCACTGTCACCTGCTGCATCTCGCTGCCCATCATGGGCTGAGCGTGACCTGGGCAAGAAGGTGACCGTTCTGAGGGGGGCTCCCCCCCTCTCACCATTACCCCTTCCCACGCAAACCACCCTGGCATGCCTCCCTCCTCAGACTGACTCACAGTGAGGCAATGGTAAAAGCTTCTCGCTGGTGCGGTGGCAGATTTTGCAATCTGTTTTAATGAGATATTTACAAGTTCAGAGGCTGGCTCCTTGCACAAGGAGTGCGGCCTGGCCCAGGCAGCTGGTTGGGCTTTTCATTGACATTCCTGCAACTCGCCCGATTGCAGCACAGGCACAGTGGAAAACATTTAGACATCAGAAATGCCAGATTAATTATCTCTTAATTGATACCTCCACTTGGGGACAAATGAAACCGGAACATCTCTACTGCCCTGGGAGCCTGCCACTTACAAACAGATTTACAGCTAAAAATACCTCGGCAGTCCCATGGCTAATCAACTTCGCTGCTTACCCTGGGTGAGGTTATGAAATTGTCACAGGCTGGCGCTGCAATCAGAGGGACCAGCTGCAGCAGCGGTGCCCGAATGCAAACCCCGCGAGGGCTGCGCGGCGCTCCCAGCGCCCATGAGCACGCTGCCAGGCAAGGGGCAGCTTGTCCCACGTCAGACTCGGAGCTGCACAGTTCGGTTTCTCGAGCCTACGATCCAACCGGAGAGCCCGGACACGAGGCTTCTCGCATGTTCCTGCCCCTGTCATTAAGAGGCTGCAGAGAGAAAAACCTCATCCCTGTGTCTTGTAAGAGACCTTAAGTGCCCGGTGCATTTTCCCGCAGTCTAAGATTTCCAGCTGGCTCAGGAATCACGCTCGGTGGTTGCGAGGGCCTTTCTGTGCAGAGCCCTCCTGCAGCTACAACACATCCCAAGGGATCTCTTTCCCCCCACACCCCCTCCCTACAGGAACGCACACACAGAGAGGCCAAATCGCCACAGCGACCCGTTTCTTTTAAATTACTGTCATCTTTATTTTTTTCACGTATGTGCAAACAGAGGAGATCGCAATGGTGGTGTTCTTAAAAATAACAAAATGTATTTGCATACATTTCCCTATGTACAGGTGAACAGCCACAAGTAGAGTCTTCTTTTGCACAGCAAAAGATCTAGAGCATTGAGACCGGGGACAGGACCGGGGCCCAAAAAAAGGGTCTAACTTAAAAATAATAATAATAAAAAAAAAATAAAATTCACAACAGTGCAAACCTCTCGGACACGACAGCACGATGGAGTGACTTTAATGCAGAAACCGGCTGGGGGGGGGCCCTCTCGGATGTGAGATTTCTGACTGTAAACAAGGCGCAACACCTCCCTCCCGCCGCCCTCCCCGGGGAAAGCTATTCCAGGAATTTGGCAGATCTTCAAGGGCTGAGCCGGAGGTAAACAGCCCGCGGCCGCCTCCCCAACTCGGGCCGCGGCGGGCTGGGGGCCCGGCTCCGGC